GGAGGATAGCTGCTGGGAGTGAAATGCAATAGCCAGGTCGCACTCGAGCGCAAGTGGGGCTGCCACACCTTGCGATGTGTGTACCAAGGCCCCCCAGGAAGCCTCAGGAGGCCCGACTTGGATACCGGAAGAGGCTCCGGGAGGCCTCAGGATTGTGAGTGTTGTGTGGGTGTGCCTGTGATGTGTGCTCTGTGTTGTGCGTGTTTTCTGTGCGTTGTAGGTGTTGTGTGTGTTATGTTTGTCTAGCGTGTGATGTGTTGGGTGTGATTTGTGTCTCTGTGTGTACATGTAGTTCTGAAGCCCCAGGAGGCTCCAGGAGGCCCCAGGCGACCCCAGGAGGCCCCAGGAAACCCCAGGAGGCTCGAGGAGGCCCCAAGAGGCTCCAGGAGGCCGCAGGAGGCCCCAGGAGGCCCCAGGAGGTTCCAGGAGACCCCCAGGAGGCTCCGAGGCGGGGTCTGGGGTACCAGAAGGTACAGAAAGCCCCAGGAGGCCCCAGGAGGTTCCAGGAGGCCCCCAGGAGGCTCCGAGGCGGGGTCTGGGGTACCAGAAGGTACGTCGGGGCTCGATTTTGGGAGGATGTCTCAGGCGAAACCGACATTCTCTGAGAATCGGGGTCAAAATCATTGAAATTACAATGTGTGTTTGAAGGTTTTACGTTAGAATGTTGAAATTCCTATATGTTTTTGGACCCTGACGTCACGATCTGTGTGAGTGGTGCCACCGATTTTCAGAATTTCGAGGATGTCCCTAGCGAAACGGCCAGAGAAATCGCGAACGACGTGGCGCGTACGCATTAATCGCCTCTGAGCTCCTCCCTCGGAGAGGTGCGTATGATAATATATACATATGTATATATATACACATATATATATATATATATAAGTATGTAAAACTTTCCCAGACAGAACTCGTAGCACTTAATGGTTCTTAGTTCTGTTCTAAGGAAGTGGGCCGGTGTGGCGGTGTGGCGGCTATGTTGTGGCCGTCGCCACCCCGTCACCGCTTCGTCGCCGCTCGTCGGCGTCTGACCTGGTGTGGCGGTCTGGCGGCTATGCTGTCGACGTCTCCGCCCCGTCGCCGCTTCGTCGCGCCCTTCGTCTGGGCTGGCGTGGCGGAATGGCGGCTATGTTGCTGCCGTCGCCGCCTCTTCGCCGGCCGCCTCGTCGCCGCCCATCGTGTGGGCCGGTGTGGCGGTCAGGCGGTTATGTTGTCGCCGTCGCCACCTGGTCGCCGCCTCGTCGCCACCCGTCGCTGTTGCACAACCAAGGTTGCACAATAGTTAAGCGTATGTAGATTGATTCTTATATGGATTTGTCTACGTGTATATATATACATATATACATATATGCGACGAAATTCGGATTTACCCCTACCCCCCTGGAAATATCTGCGTCCGTAGGGGGGGCTCTTCAAACACCTTAGGACCCGTAAACTTATGAATCTCGAGATTCCCAAAAACAAAATTGCGGACTTCGCGACCTGAATTTTCGAAAAAACAACAAAAAATGCGCGCGCTCCGGCGATTCCTTGACCGTACGCGTTCCAGCAACTTCATCAAACGTGACCAAGCGGGCCCTTGCGCGCGCATGCCGACATTATTCGAACGCCTTTCTGCGCGCTTGAAGGGGGGGCACGACCCCTGTCAAATAATGTCATGCGGGTCGCTCGCGCGCGTCGGCCTGGTGCGCATGTCGAAGCCTCTCTAAATCCTTCATCGCCGACGCGTGGATACCATCATCGTCAACGGCGTGGTCACCAGCGATGCCGTTATTGGCCTTGCCATCGTGATAGTCACCATCGTCACCAGCATCGCTAACCAGATCCTCGCGTCGGTCGTCGCCCACGTCGTCATGATACCGACCCCGTCCGAGTCACCGACTCGCACAGAAGTGCCTGCGCGTCAGCGCGGCCTGCAAGACGCGATGGGAATTGCCCAACGATCAACGCCACCGCGGCCGCGCCAGTCGCACCAGACTAGCAGGCCGCTCTGCGCATGAGCCCGCGCGCGCTGGCGAGGCCGCAGCGATGCGCCAGCCATCGCCAAGCAGTCATCGCAATCACCACCGCATGTGCTTTTTACCTAACAGCGAAGACTGATAGGTTTCTAGTGGGGTCAAAAGAGAGCATCATGAATCCCCAGGGGGGTCTGGGCAGATGCCGGACGGGTGCCGCGGAAAACCGGGGACTCCTTTTTCAGCCAACAGTAACGCACTTCGTGGTCTTCGAGTTCCCAGAACTCCATTCCTGGGCATGATTTTGAATGCCCGGAGCCAACTGTAGGCCACTTCGTGTTCTTCGAGTTCCCAGAACTACATTCCGGGGCATGATTTTGAATACCCGGAGCCAACTGTAGGCCACTTCGTGGTCTTCGAGTTCCCAGAACTCCACTCCTGGGCATGATTCTGCATGCCCGGAGCCAACGGTAGGCCACTTCGTGTTCTTCGAGTTCCCAGAACTCTATTCTTGGGCATGATTTTCAATGCCCGGAGCCAACTGTAGGCCACTTCGTGTTCTTCGAGTTCCCAGAACTCCATTCCCGGGCCAAATTTTGAATGCTGAGGCAGGCTGATGCTGAGGCTGAGGCAGGCTGAGGCTGAGGCAGGCTGAGGCTGAGGCCGAGGCTGAAGGCAGACTGAGGCTGAGGCTGAAGCAGGCTGAGGCTGAGGCTGAGGCAGGCTGAGGCTGAGGCTGAGGCAAGCTGATGCTGAGGCAGGCTGAGGCTGAGGCTGAGGCTGATGCAGGCTGAGGCTGAGGCAGGCTGAGGCTGAGGCCGAGGCTGAAGGCAGACTGAGGCTAAGGCTGAAGCAGGCTGAGGCTGAGGCTGAGGCTGAGGCAGGCTGAGGCTGAGGCTGAGGCTGAGGCTGAGGCAGGCTGATGCTGAGGCAGGCTGAGGCTGAGGCTGAGTCTGATGCAGGCTGAGGCTGAGGCAGGCTGAGGCTGAGGCCGAGGCTGAAGGCAGACTGAGGAGGCTGAGGCTGAGGCTGAGGCAGGCTGAGGCTGAGGCTGAGGCTGAGGCCGAGGCTGAGGCTGACTGAGGCTGAGGCTGAGGCCGAGGCTGAAGGCAGACTGAAGGCTGAAGCAGGCTGAGGCTGAGGCTGAGGCAGGCTGAGGCTGAGGCAGGCTGAGGCTGAGGCTGAGGCTGAGGCTGCAGGCTGAGGCTGAGGCAGGCTGAGGCTGAGGCCGAGGCTGAAGGCAGACTGAGGCTGAGGCTGAAGCAGGCTGAGGCTGAGGCTGAGGCAGGCTGAGGCTGAGGCAGGCTGAGGCTGAGGCTGAGGCAGGCTGAGGCTGAGGCTGAGGCTGAGGCTGAGGCTGAGGCTGAGGCAGGCTGAGGCTGAGGCTGATGCTGAGGCAGGCTGAGGCTGAGGCTGAGGCTGAGGCTGAGGCTGAGGCAGGCTGAGGCTGAGGCAGGCTGAGGCTGAGGCCGAGGCTGAAGGCAGACTGAGGCTGAGGCTGAAGCAGGCTGAGGCTGAGGCTGAGGCAGGCTGAGGCTGAGGCTGAGGCTGAGGCTGAGGCTGAGGCAGGCTGAGGCTGAGGCTGAGGCTGATGCAGGCTGAGGCTGAGGCAGGCTGAGGCTGAGGCCGAGGCTGAAGGCAGACTGATGCTGAGGCTGAAGCAGGCTGAGGCTGAGGCTGAGACAGGCTGAGGGGCAGGCTGATGCTGAACAGGCTGAGGCTGAGGCTGAGGCTGAGGCTGATGCAGGCTGAGGCTGAGGCAGGTGAGGCTGAGGCCGAGGCTGAAGGCAGACTGAGGCCGAGGCTGAAGCAGGCTGAGGCTGAGGCTGAGGCTGAGGCTGAGGCTGAGGCTGAGGCTGAGGCTGAGGCAGGCTGAGGCTGAGGCTGAGGCAGGCTGATGCTGAGGCAGGCTGAGGCTGAGGCTGAGGCTGATGCAGGCTGAGGCTGAGGCAGGCTGAGGCTGAGGCCGAGGCTGAAGGCAGACTGAGGCTGAGGCTGAAGCAGGCTGAGGCTGAGGCTGAGGCAGGCTGAGGCTGAGGCTGAGGCAGGCTGATGCTGAGGCAGGCTGAGGCTGAGGCTGAGGCTGAGGCAGGCTGAGGCTGAGGCAGCCTGAGGCTGAGCCGAGGCTGAAGGCAGACTGAAGCTGAGGCTGAAGCAGGCTGAGGCTGAGGCTGAGGCAGGCTGAGGCTGAGGCAGGCTGAGGCTGAGGCTGAGGCAGGCTGAGGCTGAGGCTGTGACTGCGACTGCCGTTGCCACTGCGGCTGTCAACTCGAACGCGACTACGACTGCGAGAACAGCAGAATTCTACAACTGGATTCTCATCTGAATCTTAAGGGGAATGCTTCCAGATATGCTCCTACACATCGCTGTTAGGTTGCTTTGCCAGGATAGTAGAACCGAGTTGCGGGTGGGTGGGTGGGAGTATTGCGCGAGCAGTGGGTATGACAACTCACTAGTGGGCAGTAACGAAGTGCATCACGGAGATTACACAAAAGCTACTACACATTATAGTTTGCACGACATATATACAGCGCCGTGATAAAAAGACCGCCCAATGTTTGACAAGCTGGCGCAGCGTGGACCGGAGGCGCCCCGTTAGGCGCGCGGAGCCTGGCACGCTGCGACGGGAACGTAGCAGCGTCAACGGGGGGCGGCCAACTTCGAGCTTGCATCTATAATTAAATCAAATGCGAAAGCCGGTGCAAACGTTCTGTCTTCAATATGAACTCATACCATCCCAGGCAGGCTGGCATCGCCTCCCCCCTCCCCACCCCCTCATCCTCTGCAACAGAGCTATGCGCGCACCCTCGTTTATCAAAATCACTATTCTTCAAGAGTGCCTGGGAAGAACACAAAACAAACAAAACAAATGCACGCGCGCGCGCGTCGTCGCGCGCGCATCCCGAAATCCTTGAAAAACATTGGGCCCACGGAAGGGTTTCAAAATCGCCTGGGATATACAAGGACCCTGGGCCCTCGCTTAGTCCCGCCAAAGGCGGAAGATAGTGGGCGCCCTCCGGGCACCGTAATTGTGTCCACCGCGTGGTCCTCCAGAGGATCCAGGTTGTCCACCGTGTTCGCCTCCCACTTCGGCAGCACCGTCATGGTGTCTGCTGCGCCGTCCTCCAGGATGGGGCTGAAGGGGAGGAGGGGCAAGGGGAAGGAAGGAAAGAGAAGAAGGCTGCGGAGGGGTAGAGAGGACCCAGACATGCGACGTCTTGATTATTTTCCAGACGCGGCCCCCAGAAGTCCCAACCCTTTCCCCGGGGGCAGGCTGTTCATCCCGTCTCGTTGTTGGACGGCCCCGAGGCCTGGCGAGGGCCCCCAGAGGCCGAACACTGCCCAAAAAACCGAGGGTCGCGATTTTTGCTCACGGCGCAAGCATGTCGGGGTAAGGAAATTGGCAGCAGGACCGTCGTTGTGCCCACCGTGCCGTCCTCCAGAGAGGCCAGGCTGTCCACCGTGTTCACCGCCCACTTCGGCAGGGACATCAGGGTGTCCACCGTGCTCATCGCGCCCCACTCCACGGAGCCCGCGGCCAGGCCCTCCTCGGGCTGTCCCCACTGCAGGGCCAGCTTCTCATGCTGAGTAGCTTCTCTGACGGGCTTGTGGCCCAGGAAGGGCCCCGGGACACCTATATAACACTGCGAAGAAGAAGAACGATCCCGTGCTCTTCATCACTCGGGCTGGAAAACCACGGCCCTGATCCGTCCTGGGGTGCGCTCTGGACAAGTTGCAGAAGGGAATCCAACCATGGCGACGTGAAGCCTCTAAGAGCTCAGAGCACTCTAGATACATGGGCCCTCGAACTTCAACCATACACGGATTCTCGGCACATTTCTTCGTGGCGATCCTTGAAAGTGGCCTTGGTCGCTGCATCGTCAGTCGTCGGGGCGCCTCGGGGGCAGGAAAAAATTCAACGTCCACAGCCTCTCGGTCAGGACTCCTCGTCCGCGACCTCGCGGATATAGGGCGGCATTGCGCGGATGCCCCGCGCGGAACGCATTCACGGGACCGCGTATCCAGTTTATCGCACGGCGGTGTCCAGACCGCGAGGACATGGATGTAGAGACATGCTCCCAAGCATCAGACAATGTGGTGCTTCAGTCCGCCGCAGCCCCAGAGCTCCCGACCCCTTCCCGGGGGGCAGCGCCATGCCCTGGACGCATTTCTCGTAGTCCCGAGGCCCGAACACGGCTTCCCCAGATGTCGAAATCTGAAGAGAGAGAGAGAGAGAGAGAGAGAGAATGAACGAACAAATCGGAACTGAGCAGATCAGTCCGCCAGCGCGCCAGAGGTCGGGGGATGGAGGTGGCGACCGAACCCCCTGAACCCTGAATCCCAAAGCTTTGGCACCTCTTGGGGGCCGCACCTACTCTGCTTCTGCTGGCTTCCGCCTGCGGAGCCGCCGTCGTTTTGCTACTTCCGCCGGCTTCCGCCCGCCTTCGAGGCGGGCCGCGCCGAAGGCGAGGCCCATTCTCAGAGAAAGAAAGCCGGCATGAGAGTGGACGTTCAAAGGTTCGTGCGCGGATGTCTTGGCGCGGCGCTGGAACCCCGTGCCGCTCCGCTTCGCGGGGCGGGAGGCCGGGAAGGGCTCGGGACGCTGACGCCTGGGAACTGGGAAGTGGTCAGCGTGCTGCGCCGAGGCGGGGTGGGCCAGAACCGGCGAAGCGGCACGCTAGCCAAAAGCCACTGACCAGCCTCCGAGCGAAGGCGAGGACGTGCCCAGACCCCCCGCATTCGTGATCTGTTCATCGCGTGGACCACCAAAGGTCTGGAGACCCCTTCCCGGCAAGCGGCTCTTCATCCTGAGTGCTTTTTGGCAGCACCGCGGCCCAGTAAGGCCCCCCGGAGGCCGAAAGTATGTAGAAAGCGTTCGTCGTGACTTGATTCACTGCGCGAGCGGACCTGACACCCGAAAGTTTCTGCTTACAGCCATCGCGCTACCACAAGGAATGATGGGTAAGGAAAGAAGGGGCTTTTCTGGCAATGGCGAGCCTCAGCCTCGAATCGGATCCCCGACCTAGATTCAAGGAACGGCACGAAAACTAAAGCCCCTCACGTGCCCGAAGTGGTCCTTACTCTAGCTTCACTGTAAACGCTTCGCTGTCCTGAGGCTTTGCTCTGTTCTTGCTCGCTAGAGCATTTGACACGTGTGCGGAGCTACACATTCAATGGCACGCCTTCCTGTGCCGTTGCTGCGGTCCTGCTCAGAACACACGCTCCTTGAGGCGACGGAGAGCTTGAGAGATCCAGCAAACAAAATGACTTCCTTCAGCGTCGATGCCGACTGTTCTGCTCCGACTTTTGGAGGGCCCGCGGGTTCGTCGCTCGTGGGCGCCCTTTTGGCGGAGGCCGAGGGCGTCGCCGCGGCAGCCGGCGGCGGACATGGGGCAGAAGCTGTGGCGGCAGTTCGTGCGGCCAACAGGCCAAGGTAAGCCAACAGCCCAGTCCGTCGCTCGAGCCCAAATGGGGGGGGGTCTGATCTTCTTTCCTACTCCTCCTCCTTCTTCTCCTCCTCCTCATCCTTCTTCCTCGTCCTTCTCCTCCTCCACCTTCTCTTCCTCCTCGTCACCCGACGACGATGACGACGACGGCGACGGCCACGACGACGACGACGACGACGACGACTCCAGTTCCTTCTCCTTCGACGGCGGCGGCGGCGGCGGCGACGACGACGACAACGACGACGACTGCGACTCCTCCTCCTTCTCCTCCTCCTCCTCCCCCTCCTCCTCCTCTTTCTCGTCCTTCTCATCCTTCTCCTCCTCAAATGGCGACGCCGACGCCGATGGTGACTGTCCTCCTCATCCTATTCCTACAACGGCCCTCCTGCTATTCCTCCTCCTCATCCCCCTAGTCACTCCTGCCCCTCGTCCCTCCTCCTCTACCTCTTCCTCCTCCCTCCGACCTCCTCCCTTCTCCCCTCCTCCCTCCGCCCTCGCCACCCTCCACCTATTTCCCTTCCTCCCTGCTCCTTCATCCTTCTCGCATCCTCCTTGATCCCTCCTCCCCCCGTCCGTTGCCCTCCGATAGGGGAGTGCATCTATAGATTCATTTCGGAGGTGGGGTGGCCCATCCCACTTCAGCTTCAGCTTCAACTGTTGCGCTGCAACTCGTCAGTATTGCGAGGGAGTGGTCAGCGTCGTGCCCTCGCAAAGGTGTGACTTGTCTCCCCCGCACCAGCCCAGCATGCACATCTATGTATATAGACACACCCATATCCAAGAACATGTATACCTATGCATGGAGAGAGCGAGGCACAGAGAGAAGGGTCAGCGGAATTCACCAGGGCGCATGGCCAAGATGCTAGCCCAAGCCAAGCCAAGTAATTGGTATTTATTCAGCCTGGTGTGTCGGGTCACGTTTCATCGTGTCGCACCTGGTCCGTCCGCCCTGTTCCAATCACCACCATCCGCCTCCTCATTGGTAAGATGGTGTCCAGACTGATGCACCTCGGCGGCATGTTCTCAGCGTCTGGAAGGAACGCTGCCGAACGAAAAGAACGACGGCTTGCAGTCAATCGTGCTTGGAATCGAAAAGTGGAGTTTGGCATTCTCGGGTCGGCTGGAAGCCTAAGCGGTAAGTATACGGTGGATGTGTTCACAGTGCCACCACGTCTGGCGGGGAAAGCTATCGATACAGCAATGCAGACACCCAGGCCAGTTTGATCGGCAAGCTTCGCGATATGCTGCAGGGAAGGGAGCATTCTGAGACCCATGACATTTACAGATCTTGGCATACTTTGAACGTGCGGCGATATTGGAAGTTGCCACCTGTCGCGCTGGAGCTCACCGTTCGCCGTCTTTGTTAGTGGAGGGACATGCTCACATGTATACACTGCAGCACATACACTTTCTGGTGGGCTTCGTTGGCAACTTGGCGGTGGAAGGTGCGGCCAGCATGAGGACCCCGATCTTGGACGAGACTGGCGCCATCAACGCCAGCGCACCGATCCACCCCTGGGCGAAGCAGGTGGCCTCCGACATCGAGATACTCTCATCCATAGACCTGGCCCCGGAGCTACGTGACATGTGGCAGCCGCGCAGCATCAGGCGCCTTCTGGTGGACGAAGAGATCCGCGACATGTTCACGGCCATTGACCCTCGTACTCCGCGTGCTGGTTCTTCTCTCGGCAAAGGCACCCGAACGGTACGCTCCCGGAGGACCTTATGCCACATGGGGGAGAAGTCACTGGAGTTACTGGCGCCGAGATCCACACGTGTGAGAGCGAGCTGAAGGACGGACCGAAATGTGGTCGGACCGTCTCTACTCTTCTGCGTTGCGTGCTCACCAGACTCACAATAAGGAGCCGTGCCACCTGTTGCGGAGCGTGCTCAGCTTGCTCGTTCCAGGCAACAAGTGCTTGATCTGCCTGGATGTCTTTCGGAGCCGTGATCATTGGTCACGGCACTTCTCGGTGGTCAGCCCGCGGCTGTGTGCGCCAGAACACATCCCAGCTGTGGTAGTATAGGCCTCCCGACTGCCTTGATCGCCTGATCTGCAAAGAGAGCCCACTTACTGCCTCGTCCCCATACGTGTGCGAGAAGTGTGCTCCAGATTAAAGCAAACAACACGCAGCGAGCACACACACACTAAAAGCAACACGACATTAACCAGAACATCAGCAATTAACCGCCCATCACAAGCAGCAAGTACAAGTACAACATCGTCATCTACGTCATCTCAGTTGCCAGCTACAGCGAGCTCAGCAGCACTACCCTCATCGCCCTTAGCAGTAAACCATTGTCGAGCGCAAAGGAGCCAGAGCTGAATCGTCCCCCGGGCATCTACGTCGCAGACGGAAAACGGCCCCAGCCCCGAGCATCAACAGAACGGGACCGAGCCCATCATCATCACCACCGTCGTCGCCGTCAACATTTGGCTCTGTCGAGGCTCTTCGCGTCCATCTACGTACGCGCATACGTGTGCACCACTCGTCTCGGCCGTGGACAGTTCGTGATCTTAGCCAGGTCTCAGCTCGGCCCAAGCTGGACAGCCGAACACGAGTGACTTCGACACCTTCTTCATCTGCAAATCCACCCCCCGAGGCCGAGAGCCGTGGTCTTCTCATCAGCGTCAACATCTACAAATGAGGGCTCAGTGGCGCCCGCAGGCGTCCTCGCCAGCGTCTGCGAATGGTGGAGCACTCGCGCAGCCAGGCACACGGGGCGCTCCCGCGGGCACGACAGGGACAGAGCCTCGCACGACGAGACGGAGCGGCAAGCGCCGCAACAAGGCTCGTTCAGACTTGTTCACCCACCGCGCGGACCGTTCAGTCTGGAGCGCTGTCCGCTGCTGGGAGCCCTGAGAGGAAACTCTCGACCCGATCTTTCGCGTGGAGCTCGCGCCATGGTTTGTTTTCTGCCGGCCCTGAAACCCGATACGGGTCCTTTCAGAATACCTCTTAGAATCCCATTTTGAACTCCCCCGCCGGCGTCGTCGCCGCGTCGAGGCGGCATAAACCTGCGTGCAGAGACCAGTGTTGCACTCGACAATGTCACCAGGCGGTCAAAGTGCGCCCGACCAGCTGGCACGCCCAAAATGGATCTGGCTATGGCATGTTCGTGTAGTGACGACACGTCGTTGGTTTACCTTGTGCGATCGGCGAGTTTTCGATCGCCAGGCCATCCCATGCAAGCCGATTCTTGGACACCAGCGGCGCTCAACCTTGAACACCCGCGCTGGAGACGCCGCCACGTCGATACGGCACGAACCTGCCGCACGGAACAAAGGGGCACGACGCCACGAGGAATGCCAGGCCCAGACGATAATCGACACCTACCCCAAATAAACATGACTGCCCGGCTCTCTGCCGCCATATTATTACACATGAGCCGCGTCTACATCGCAAAGATGGAAGGTTGTGAACACTCCTTGACAAGAAAACTTGCCCCGCTTCGTGGCCGCCACGATCGCCGCGGCGACCTCCAAAACCGACCTGGCGGTTTGGCTCGGGACCGGATAGTACGCAGCGACAGAACCCCAACGTCATGGCAACGAAAACAGCACGGAGGCTTCTCTTCCGGGGCCATCCGGGCCCCGGGACCGTCAGACAACGACTCGGGATGAATAGCCAGCGCTGGAGACAGGTTTGGGACTTCCGGGGGCCACGCACTGACGGAAACCAGGGCATCGGACGTCTGGGCGCGAAGAAGGGCAGGGCCTTCCCGGCCACGGCGAGCCTCGGCCACGAGAAGGCTCCCCTGACCTGGAGGTGCGAGGAGCGGCCCGCAGAAGCAGAGCCCCCGTCTGAGCAAAGAATTGTCCCGTATTTCGGCGCCTCGACTGCAGATGCATGCGAAGCGATGCACCTGAGACGAAGCCCTGGATGAGATCGGGTGAGGATGAATCCGCCGACCCCCTGTGGGTCTCTAGGCGTGTGGGACTGCTTCCCCCCCCATTATCCCGCCCACTGACCCCCCCTCATGGGCGGATAGAGGGCTCTCCGACGACTTTAGAGGGCCCCGAGGCGCACCCAAGACGGTCCCAGAAGGCACCGTGTCGCTGCAAAATCGTTCCAAGACGCACAAGACGGCCTGCAGGCGGCTCCAGATGCCCCCAAGGCACCACACAACTCACCGTCTCGCTTTCATCTACATCACCGTCACCCTGAACGCCCGCAAAAACCTTAGGAAACAATCTACACTCAGGGGGGTCAGCGGATGTGTCGTAAACCTATAGAATCATCCGCATCTCAATCACCATCACCAGCATCATCACCACCAGCATCAGCATCGTGATCATGATCACCAACCCCAGCATCTGCATCGCGATCATCACCGCCGTCACCAACAGCATCATAAATATCATCATCAGCAGCAGCATCGTCATCACCATCAACATCCCCTTCCCTCCCCCGGCACTCCTCCGACACTCCTCGACTCCTCCGACACCCGTCGGACACTCATCCGACTCACCTCGCCCTGCTACTCGTCATCCCCATCTTCCGCTTCATCGGCGTAAGCATCACCCTCGTTATAATGTGGATCGCCATCAGCATCGCAACGATCACCATGTGCCGCAGCAGCATCATCATCAGCAGCAGCAGCAACAGCGCCAACATCATCATCGCTGTCGTCCCCAACCTATTCATCCATATCATCGGCAGCACGCCATCCATCATTTTCACAACCAAACACAATCATCATCATCACAACCACCGTCGTCATAAACAGCATCACCATTATCAGCATCAGTCTCATCACCATCGTCACCATCATCACCACCACCATCAGAATCATCATCATCATCATCATCATCATCATCATCATCATAATCATCATCATCATCATCATCATCATCATCATCATCATCATCATCATCATCATCATCATCATCATCATCATCATCATCATAATCATCTTCATCATCATCATCAGCATCATCATCATCGTCGCCAGCATCATCATCCAGCATCATCATCGCCCATCGTCATCGTCATCATCATCGACATCATCAGCATCACCA